TTGCGACTTTACTGTTGCTTTGGTCGAATGATTGCCACGCCCATTAACGGGGCCCAAATGTGCGAGTTATGCGCATGTAACAGCGGGCCATTTATGGTCATTTATTGTAACGCTCTCTTACTGTTGCTTCGTTGTGTCTCTTGCCTTGGGTTGGTTGTATTTTAAGCTGCTGCACCACGATGCGTTTTTCATCGGCATGCAACGCATTCAAACAAGACATTTTGCACATATGTATGCTTCGAACTGATCAGTGGGAATGAAGACTTCCTTTGAGTAACTTTTTAACTTCACAGAATTACTCTGACTCCAAATCGGTGAGCACAAAAAAATGCCAACAGAATTTATGCCATCGGTGACAAAGGTATCGTTTCCCTCCCGGATTAAGTCACCTTCATACGCTGCTTTTCTATTGTTAGAAGCCCACCGCCTCCCGCACTTGTGCGACAAGCTGAAGGAAATTATGATGACGACTTTTTATTGGCCCCAAAGCCATTGTCCGTCCGGGCTCCTGCCCATCCTTTCCTATTGTCCGCCTGACAACTGAAGAGGTTCGCCCAGCTGCCTGAACGCTTGGATGTCCTCTACGCCTCAACACTGTCCGAGCGCCTGCCGCTCTTTTTCGAGTCAATAAAAATTCAGTAAAACGTTCTCGACACAGGCTCAAGGATTATTATTGCTACTTTATGGCAGTTTATGTTTCTCTGTCGTTGTGTGCGTTTGCATGTATCTGCACAGATTTAAAAGGTTATATACACACACAGCCCCGCCCACCAGCTGGGGCTGGGAACACATGGCTGCGGCTTTCTTCTAGGGTTCCTCCACAACATCAAGTAACTTGTGTCCTGACAACCCAACTTGTAAAGTGTTCGAGACGCAAATTGCTTCCCCGGGATGACACTGGGGCCCCATGTCAGAGTCACAGTAACAAAGTGGAACACTTTGTACTCAATTTCACAGATAATTGGTGGGCCCAAAAGCAAAAGAAATTTACAACGAAACAAATGAATGCTTTTAAAGTTTTCCTGGAAAGGAACATTTCTAGCAGAATTAAAGCTCCTTCCACCGACTCTCCTCTCATGTGCAACAGGGAATACGTATACAAAATCCCTTGTCCTTTTTCCAATTTCTCCCTCAGAAATATATCCAATCAAATATTCAGTTTGACAAGAACCCACTTCTTTTTGAAAACAAAGAGATTACTCCGCACGCAAACCCAAATACGCCAAGAAAACTTTTGGCCAACAAGAAGTGCAACCAAAGTCGGAAGCTAATTATATGGCAACAGAAGGGTTATCGTGGCAGGGTATTTGAGGGGGAGTTCAAGCCAAAAATCTGCTGTAAGACAAAGCCTCTAACCCAAGAAAACTTTGCCTCTGACTTTTGGCCCAATTATGGCCACGTTTCAATGTCGAGTCGTAAAAATTTGCATATTTCCAAAGCTTTTTAATGTTTTTTTTTGGTTTTCATTTTTCTGTACGGTGTGTTTTTCTGAGTTCCCCCCGCAGTTTTTTAGGGGAAAGGAAAAATAAGCAGCCAGACAGGCAAACACGTTGACACCTTCGTTTTCATTCGTTTTTGTGACGAGGGGCGAGGGACACGGAGGTTGTCGAGAGAAGCAAACTCGCTGCTAATTGCGAGTGTCGAGGCTCAAAGCAAATGGCTTAATTACATTGCTGTTTCTAGTGCTTCTGCTTCTGCTGCTGCTGCTACCGTTGTTATTGGGCCCCGGCCCCAAAGGTCAGCCAAGCACAAAAGTTCATTTGCATAATTTGGCGGGGTTTTTAATTTTTTCGGCCCAGCATTTCCCAGGCCCCAATCCGCACGTAACATTTGCATAAACAGAATCTACAGTCGACTCTAGTGGCAATCAGCATAAGTCCCCACTGTGCAACGACAAAAACATATTTCAGCCCAAAAATCACTGCAGCACAAAAAACTTTCTCAATCGCATCTAATTTGGTAATTACTGAAATAAGGAAATGAAACGTAACCGGAAAACAAATTCCCTTTCACAAATATCCAAGTCACTTGTGGAACAGCAGATGCCCCAGTGGAACAGGCAGATTCGAAACTATCTGGAGGAGATTGGCATGGATATCTACAGCACTGAGATCAGCTTTTTTATTTGGCTTTAGAGGAAACCGTATAGTATAGTCAAAAATACTAATAATATTTTCCAGAATATATTTACCCGTATTTAAATGTTACACAGGTAAAAGTTTCGTGTTGGTTTCTCTTTGCTATGTGTATTACTATTTTTGTTGTGGGGCTCTAGTTATTTGCCCATCAAATTAGTTTTCTCGCACACGTTTTCAATTTTCGGCAAACGCTAAAAGTTTCTTGCAACACACACACGCGAGGGGGGTAGTTTAGTGCGTAGATACATATGTTTGCCTGCCACAAATGCGCGAGAGTGCGGGTGCGATAACACATGCAGAGAGGAGCCAAAGAGCGTGTCAATTGTGGAGAATGTTTTTAGTATTTTAGCAAAATTTGAATAAACCCGGAATACACCACACGTGAATTGCAATTGAAATTCCTGTAATGTAAACAAACACAAATCCAGAAACACACACAGAGGCACGCATTCGCAAAACAATAATGAGAGAGTCTGTCCGCTTGTGTGCTGAGAGATGCATAAATCAGCTGAATGGATGGACGGACAATGGGGGGCCCGTGGCAAGTGTTTCCAAAAACTTCATTGTGTTGGTCGCACTCTCATAATTGGCAACTTCCTTTTTGACATATTCCCACACCCCCCAATGTGACTATCGCTCTGCTATTGGGGTCAAATGTGCATAATAATAATACAGCATTGCAAATGCAATTTCGAATGTTTCCCCATTCTCCCTTCCTGCCGGCAGATGGAATCCACATATCCGATCAGAATACACATGTAATATCTGCATATATTTATTCGTTTTATTTGGTTTTGTTTATGAAATTCTATTGCCCATCGAAGGGCTTTAATTAATTTTATCTGCATTTAAATCGAATTATTTGTAAGCGTTTTTTGTTGTTTTTTAGTTTGCTCATTTGGGGGTTTAATTACTGTCCAGAGATTGGATTGTTTTCAATTGATTGTTACAATGGTTAGGTCGTCAAGTGCAAATTATTATTATCGTATTATTAAACTACTAATTAGTGCAAAGTGATGCAAGGAAAATGCAAGGCGTACTCAATTCAGGACGACAGCTTCTCGGCTCAAGAAAGAAAAAATATTTCACAGCACAAAAATAGATTCCCAGAATAAGAATGTTCCCGCATATCCGACAGATAGCCCTATCTGCAAGATTATGGCTTCGCGACGCGTCGTTGGCGATGGATTAGATAACAATAACATAGAGCGAGAGAGAACGTGTGGGGGGAGGTGTATTGAATCGTCCATCGTCCAGTATCCGGTTAGGCCGTAAGCCATTGGCAAATATTTGCATGGCTCTTGGCCCTCCTGCTGGATGGCTGGATGGAATACTCTTATGGCAAATATGCAAACAGAGACGATGTTTATTTGCGGCTCGTGTTGACACAAATGTGCCATTGATTATGCACGATCCACATATATTTTGCCGGCACTCGTCCCAATAGGATATTCCTTCAAAATTTAACCCAATTTACGACAGCTTTTGTTTAGTCACGAAACACACATCTCATACAATTCGCACAATATATTGCATATATTAAACAAGTGACAGCGCGAGCCGGGAGCCGAAATATTTAGCATTCGTGCTAAATAAATTTATGCACAAATGAAACGCCAACATTTGTTAATGAATGTTTCTGGTTAAGCAGCGGGCCCGGTTACAGAACTACCCAAATTTCATAATATCAATACTTCAAATATCATATAATTTTGCGTCGCAACGTCGCACCTTTTTCCTGAAGTAATATTGAACGGAATAATATCGCCAACCTTAGATACTCTACAACTATCTGTGGGAGAAGATATAAATTCTATTGGAAAGGCCTAGTCCCCAGCTTTTCTGCTCATTTTACAATATTTTAAAAATTTCCATCAAATTGTTTTATTTTATTCAAATTTTTTAGAACAGCCTTAATTACTGTATTTGTAGTCAAATTTGTGTACATTTTAATTGTGTGTTGAATGGAGAGATTTTAAGTATTTCAACAGTTTATTGTAAGACCCCAAACATTGGTACCTACAACTAAGACTATCTGTTGTATAAATGTGTTTTTGCCGCATTTGTTTTTGTCAAATGAAATCCCCTACCACTTTGAGTAAATCCTTTAATCCTCTTATCTTTTATAAAAACAAAAACTGATATATTTCCCTCAGCCCAAATGCATCACAGAAAATAATGATAACAAATTGTTGGCCTCAAAAACACTCTTTACTTCGCCAATTTTCGGATACTTTGTTGTTAATTCACAGAATTAGCACAGGGATTTTATTTCATTTGGAATTTCAGACATAAATTCAACATTTGTTTGCCTCTGAGCTTCTCGGAGACCTCTCGAAATACACAAATTTTGGTTATTGTTATTATATTTTGGTAAATATTTAACCACCAATACTCTGCGGCTGTTGATATTTGCATTTGAGATGTGAAAACGAATGGGGTTTTATTTTTTTTGGGCAGAAGCTTATTTACATGCCTCTTTTTTATGTGGTTTTCAACGAGATATAAAATATATTTTATATATGATTTTGGCAGTGACATGCCAAAGCCGCAGTTGACATGACGTTGGAAAGCCACCGGCCATTTGGGAAGTGTGACCCCGACGAATGGTTAGCCGTGTTAACAAATTATTTTTTTTTTTTTATTAGCATATCCAGGCACATGACCAGGCTATAACGAGGCTCTGGCTCGTACCCATCTCCGCATTATCAGGTTGTTGTTGATTAAACATTGAGTGTGTAAAATGACAGTGCAAATATAAAGCTAAGGAAAGATTATCATCATCAAAACTGCAGGAAGCTACAGCCAACGGAAGTCTACAATTTTTGATAAGCTTCGTAAAGAATTCCGAGCATTACTCACCTTTGGATCTGCTTCCAGTGCCACAAATATATCTTCTGGGAATTGTCTGCAAGGAGAGTGAGGAAATTGTAAACCTGATTAATATGCAAATGTCAAGTGCGATATAATTAACGGCTTAACCCAGTTCGGTTTTGTTTAGCTTTTTTTCGTGTTTGTTTTTTGTTTTTGTTTTGTGCCACACACTTCCGCCTACGAATGAGTTTTTGGGACACGCCAGAAACCAGTTTATTGCACTTGATGTCTGTCCGCTGTCGCTGTGTCTGTCACTGTCTGTGACACTGAGACTTTAACTCGACTAACTGTCTGAGATTTGGCTTTTGGATTTGTTATAACCGGTGTATGCTGAGTAGGGCAGGGGTATATTAAAATATTAAGTAACAATAATTATGCACACCAAACAATTACAACGATTGAATAATGATGATCCTGGATACCGGGTATTTTCATCTTCTCAGTTGTTGAATCCATTTTCATTTAACTCGAACTGGTTTGCCATTGGCCATTGGGAATTGCACAATTCACAATAAAGATATGTGAGGTGCACAGTGTGTGTGGAATGTTAAGTGCCAAGCTCGTAATTTAGATAATATTCAATTTCAGCAAACATTTAGTTGTGGGTCACTCTTTCAACAGGGGCTTAAAAGCGGGTTCAAGAGGGAGCGTTCAGAATGCAATGAAGCAAAATCGGACAACGGGGGCAACGCGGGCATGGGGCAATAGAGACTGGGTCACTTCATGATGTTAAGCTGCTTAGACGTTAATTGAATTAGTTTGCAAGTATCGCCCCAACGCTGAGTGTGCGCGTGTGTGTGTGTGTGTGTGTGTGCTAAGAGGTGTGACGCACTGGTGCATGAGGCAGATCCCCCAACCACTCTCGCTCCTCCTTCCCCCTTTTCACCCACTTGTGCAATTGCACTTGCACTTGATATACAATTAGATTCTTTGTTGCCTCCAAGCCGTTTGCGGAAATAGCAAAAACAACTATGGCTCTTTCTATGCAACGCTTTGCCCAGCTGCAACACCACACTTCCCCCCTTCCAAGCGTCGCCCATCTGCCATCATCGTGCAGCTTCTCGCATTAATGAACTTTTAATTGTTGGCATCTTGGCGGCGGGCTGCTCAGCTCTGCTCTCCTCTCGCTGCTTACATAATTGAACTATCGTGGTGCACCGCCTGGTTAATTGTTTAATTAAGTCATTAAAATGCCATAAAAAATAATGAGTAGAAGGCCTAGGAGAGCGCAGCTAATTTCTGGATTACCACAGATGCTTTCCTAGGACAAATGGCCCTTTACATGCGACACTTGCACTCCACTTTCCCCCTTAAGATCAAAGTTCAGTTTCATAATCTAGCGTGCTTACAAAACGAAGTCATCTAGGTCCCATCTAACCTTAGTAAATCTAACTTAATCTTCAAAACATGAAACTTTGTGCCATTCAAAACGAACGACGCCGTTCACTTTTACGACATTTTGTGCAGCAAATGGTGATAAAGCGCTGAAAGCCAAATGCATATTTTTGCTATTCTTATCTTATCCATTACCGCTTCCATTACATAAATGATAGCTAAACTTCCAACAATCCAGATCGTGCTATTCCAGTAAATTGAATTTTTCCACTCGGAGGAAGAGAAGTCACTCCATTATCCTTTGTCAACTGTTGTTGCCTATCACACCTGGCATCATGCCATACTTTCCATTAGCCAGGTCTCATATCAGAAGCCGTGGTCCCACCAAGAAAGTAAAGTAAGTATTAACCTATATTCGTGGTGCTCGCTCTGTCGCATCTCCCCATTGGCGTGACATGTCAATCTTTTGACAGACAATTGCCACAACAGCCACAACAAAGGGTGCCACATTGGTAACACCAACAATTAGATGGCCCAAAGAGAGAGTAAGAAGACTATGGCAGACTAATGGCAGAGGGCGGGGGCACAAGGCCAACAATTGCTGTCACCATGACGATAAGCGATAACAAATTCATTAATTAAAACATTTAAGTGGCAACAAAGAGCAACAAAAGAAAAAAAGATTTGCCATGCAAATGGCTTTATCTATCGTTGCGTCCCCTGCCCCATGCCACATGCCACATGCCCCAAGCATCAAAAATAAAGCAGATAAAGCAGATGCAAAAAAAAAGCGAATCACATTACACAGAAATGTGTTGATCAATAATATAAAATAAAAAAAAACGGTTGCGCGCATCATAAAAACCATATTATTAATAAATTAAATGCCGCACTTGAGAAGAGAGTTATGCACCAATTAAAGTGAATGTTAATAATTTTTCAATTTGTTTTATCCGTAATTTTACTCAGTTTTTTTTTACTCAATAAATTTGATTGCAGTTTCCCAGTTTTCCATCAAGCAGCAGTTTATTGTAATCTCTTTATGCGTTGACTTTGTTTTCACTTTAATTAAATTTTATTATTAACATCCGCAACATTTCTATAGCAACAAGCCAAACAGCCAGCGACAAGCGACAACGACAACGACAACAAATTGATTATATTCGAGAAATTTGTTTCGTGGGGCGAGAAACCGCCACTGGGATCTCTGGAACTCAGGGGAAGGGCTCGGCTCTCAAATACAAAATTGCACAAAATGTACAATTGTGTACATACATATACACATTCAAATATTATTCGAAGAGAAAACTAAGGCAAAATAAACTTTTCTCCCCACTTGCGCTGATACATTGCACTCGTCTGAACCCCACCGAACCGACCTTCGGGAAGCTGCAGGAATAAATTGATAAATTGAAACACTTTTGCAAAGTGGGGGACCACTTCTCGGGAAGTTTCTATTTCGTGTTTCAGGGCGAAACTTAATATTTTCTTTCAAAAGTCCACGCACACAGACACGGAGGTTCTGGCTTTAAAGTAATGATGAATGTGCTTAAACTTATGCCAATTAAAAATGAGTTGTATCCCGAAGCTGAGAAAGAGTCTCTAAAAGATAGGAAAATGTGTTCTCTTTTCCTAAGCTGGAGCTTAGGCTTAAGCTAAACGTTTGAGAAGGGGTTCATCAATATCCCTAAACTTAATGGAAGTTTAATATATCAATCGAGAAAGGACCGAAAATCAGAGTTCAAAGCGTCCTACCTATACACATATTTAATCAATTTGTATCCCTGATTTTTCTGTCTCTTAAGTTAAATGAACAGACATAACAAAGTAATAAATCCATTTACTTAGGGTCTAGTTCCACTTCTCTAATAATCTCCATTAAAAATTCATTTGCCCATCACTCATACGCGGGGTGTGACAAACAGCAAAAGCGGCAAAACAAATTTCATTTTGGCGAGCACACACAACGAAAATAAAGGGAAAAAAATAATATACAAATTTGAGCAATAACAACGGATAAACCAATTTAAAAAAAATACAATCTGCAAACCAAATCCGCACACACGACAGAGAGTCAGGCAGAGACAGACAGGCAGATGGAGAGACAGAGAGACAAGGGATGACTACATTTTAAATACAATCATACCATATGTATGTATCAGGTTGTATCTTTTCTTTTTTTTCGTACAGACCCGAAATTGCAATGTCTGTCACAGCAGGAACTCGTCCCTACCCAACCCAAGCCGACTCTGACCCGCAACAATCCTATTTTAATTGTTTAAGTGTCAGCAAAGCCAAAAATAAAATATGCAAAAAAAATGGAATAAAAATCAAGTGCAGAGAGTGTGTGGCAGTGGGCAGTGCTTTTAATGAATTCAATCAAACTCGGATTGAAATTGCAGCAACTTTGGATGGAGATTTTTTGGTATATTTTGTACGAGTATTCCATTTCTGCTCTCGGCATCATCATCCTTTATGGGGCATGCACAAGTTGCTGCTACCGCCGCGGGGCAAAATAATGTTAATGAGGACCCGAAAGAATTGCTTTGTGTTCAATTTTATTGTCGGAAAAGAGAGCTAAACGAATTTAGTGTTAAAAAAGGATGAGAGAAACTGGGCAGAATAGAAGGAATGAAAAAAATAAGATACAAATGGCAGTTTGGAGGGGGAAAAGCTTGGTATGGGATATAGTGATTTGAGCCCAAGATATCGTGATTTCGTGGTATGTCCACATTAACCCTAAGCGAACTGACACATTCATTTTGATACAACTCTTTCGTCGCTGCTGAATAGCAATCATCGCCGGCCCGTAAATGAAACCAAATTGTTGTACTTCTGTAAGTACTTCACTCTCACCTACGTCAATCTCTCTCTACCTCTTTGTCTGGCTGTCTTTTTCCATTGATTCTATCCATTCTTCTTTCATTAATGTTTTACGCGAAACTTTCGCTCGGTGAAACGCGTTAATTGAACTTTCATTGAAACGCAAGTCATTAGAAAGCAAAAGCAGAACACAACAGCACATTTTCCATGGCTTCCATAAGTAAAGGAAATTGAAACAGCAACAGCAACAAATACTTGGCTAATTTAAAACTTAATGATTAGTTAGTTCGCTTTTTGTCCATCCGTCTGCTCTTGGCTTTCATTGTCAGCGAAACTGAAATTCAATTAAATGCAATTATATTATCGCCTTTTGTCCCGACTAATTGGGTTAAGTGCGCCCGTCCCCCGCCCCCTGTTTGCTTATCGGAACCGGGGGCTCTCTAAAACTTCCTCTGAATGAATCAACTACAAAAAATATTTCTAAATAAACATGTATGTGCATATATGATGTATGTATTGTATGTAGACTTGCATTTTGTATACTGCATTCCGCACTGTAATTTAATTAGAGCACAGAGAGACACAGAGGGGTTTCTGTTTTAGGGAGCGGAGTCTATTCCGTTTGTCTGAGAATTGAAAACGACGCTCCAATTCAATTGACAACATGATGGCAATTGTTTATTTTCGGCATAAATAGCACAAAAAACAGCATAAAAGCTGACCCAGATGGAAGTGGTTCTCATGATACCCTGTAGCAATAAAATGTAGTTGGTGAATAAGTGGTGATAAATGGGTTTCAAGGTAAACTCGACTTTATAACGTTTGATGGCATATACATATATACATACATACATAAATATATCAACATGATTTGGT